TGTAAACACTATTTAATCTTTCCCGACTCTCTTTCTTGCCTTCAGGCTATTAAAATCTGTCTTTCTTTTTTTTGTAAACATCCACTTTTAATCGAAATTATGGAATCATATAATGACCTTGCTACTGGCCAATATGAGATCGTCTTTTGTTGATTACCCAGCCACGTTGGCATTTCTGGGAACACAATGGCCGATTTGCTGGCAAGGCAGCACTCAGCAAATATGTGACACCACTTCTTATTCCATACTCTGATTACACAGGTAGCATTAGAACTTGCATCCGTGATTTGATGCAGAAGAAGTGGGACACCCAGGTAGGTATCAATAAATTACATGCAATATAACCCTATATTGGTTACACCTACTTGGGTTGTCAGTCCATATTTATAGAGGCCATTATACCACCATGTTGTATTGGTCACACAATATATACTCATGAATACCTATTGAAAGGTGAAGATCCTCCGTTTCGTATCCCTTGTCATGAGAGAACCACGGTCAACCATGTCCTGCTTGACTCCATCATAAGGGATTAATATTTCAATGTAAAAACAGTTAAAGATCATTTTACCACTGTTAGTTCTCATTTAGTTATTGTTTTTATAAAGGAAATTGATTTCATTGATGAATTCTGATTAATGTATTTTGTAAATAGATATATTTTAAAGATTGGTAGCTTAGTTTAGTAACGTAGATTGTTATTGGCTGTGCCCTCAAAGGGGGTTAAAGTACTGTAAAATTACTGTCCTCCTAAGAGAGTACGGAAGTCCTAAAACTTTCAAAGTAAAATATAAATTCACCACATTTTAAACGTAGTATTTTTGTTGTTTTAACTGTCGGCTAAATTTTCCTACAATCGCCAGCAGCTGAAGGGATGGTGTAAATCCAGCTAGGGTCCATGCAGGTAGCAAAGGAACTGTAAGTCCCCATGGTCCCTAGTGTGGTGATCTACCTTCAGTTGTTGGCGATCTATAGCCCGATTGTATATTGTGTTGTTTTGCAATGACTTATAATTTTACACTGAACTCAAACTAGTTTTTATCAATTGTGATAGTCTAGTTGTTATTCTGTCCTTCGCTGTAAGGTGTTTAAATAGGTATAAATATTTTTATTCTTAGTACAAAACCTTTTGTCGTCAAGATATGGCTGAAATATTGCCGATGTGATGTTAAATATTAACTCACTCACTCACTCCTGCTTGACTGTGTTGAATTTTACATCATAAGGGATAAATAGTTCAATGTAAAACCTGTAAAGGATCTTCATACAAATGTTAATTGTCATTTAATCATTTTTTAAAGAAATTGATTTAATTAATGAATTCTGATTGATATGTTTTGTAGATAGATGCATTTTAACGATTGGTAGGTTAGATTAGTAACTTAGATTGTTAATTGCTGTATCCTCAAGGGGGGTTAAAGTGTTGTAAGTCCCGAAATGTTCAAAGGAAATTTAAATTTGATCTAACTTCAGTTGTCTGCGATCTATAGCCAATTTTTATTTTGTATTGTCGCTAATAGTCATATCTAGTTAAATGCTAGTTTAAATACTTAAAATTGTGATCTTTTGTCTGTTTTATTGTCCTTTGTCAACAGATTTTATATTTTATATTAATATTATCTATTGATAAGATATTAACTATTTTAGTCTGTTTTAGTTTTAGTTATGGCTGCAATATTGACGATGTGACTATAAATATTAACTCACCCACTCACTCTTTGCTGAATATAGTCATTGTTAGTACCTGGCAACGCTGACTCATTCCACTCAACGCTGACTCATTCCACCGTACATCGCTCAGGTAAAACAATATTGTTGACGAGATTAAGACATTTTATTTGGTCCTTTGGAATATTTCTTCAACATAATGGAAGATTCCACCCGTAACCATGAAATATTAAAAGTCCAACCTGCTTGTCCTTCCACTTGAACTTAAATGAGTATGATGAAACGGAATATGTAATTTCTTCTCTGGGACCTTTATGGTTGATTTGTGTTCCTTGTTTCAGAGACAAGAAAGCACTCTTTTAACTGTTAGCATGAAGTGTGTGTCTTTTTATTGACGAACATTGTGAATTGACTCGACAGTGGCAGACACTCATTTATTGATGTCATGTGCACAAAAGACAAGAAACTATAAGCCACGACATGTGTTTTCTAACTACATTATATTGATTCATAACCTAGTCAGTGTGAGACCGTGAAGATCCGGGTTAGAATTGATCTTCTGTAACCCAGTAACCATACTCGTAAGAGGCGACGAACAGGCTCGGGTGGTCAGGGCCGCTGACACATTCTGTTTATCACTGGGTTGTCTGGTCCGCAGTCGATTTTTTACAGACTGCCGCCATATAGCTGAAATATTGCTGAGAGCGCACAAAACAATCATTCACTCACTAGTCAGTGTGAACTTCCCTAGGGGGAACTGGGGTACATGTGACCCTATTTTCCCGTTTCTGGTGGTATGAGGTGACCGAATTGGGCAAGCTGTTTGCCTTGACCTCTGTGTCGGTAGAGGAAGGGGTCTGAAAAGAGGGTCCTGGAGTCTTTTCCTTTAGTATAATACTTTGACATTAACTTTACCTGGTTTTGGTTCTCTAAATCGGTTGTTCATGCCATGCCGTGTGCACGGTCAACTCTATACTTGGAATATACATACCAGTATATGCTCACACGTTCCAACAAATAAATAGTTGATGGCAGCATATGGGCCCGTCTGGCATCCCTGACTTCAGGCTCTTAATTGTCTTCAGAAAACTGCCGCGGATGGACCAGGCCTGGCATTGGCTCTGTAGAATGTTTGTAATCGTGATGAGCATTGTGTGGTTTAGTCAGTTTCCACTACACTATCGCCATTGTTGACGCTTCATAGTAGGTTGGGAATAAATTGTCTTACATTATGGATACACAACAACTTGGTTCTCGCTAGAAATACACATGGAAAAGGTATCTCAACACTTAGGATTGTTAACCCCCCACCGTCATCCATATGGCCATTTATTTTATATCAAGCACTGCTCGTCTTGTCGATAATACTATTAAGCAGTGCTCGTCTTGTTGCTCATGCTATCAAGTACTGCTCGTCTTGTTGATAATTCTATAAGGAGTGCTCGTCATGTTGCTCAAGCTATCAAGCACTGCTTGTCTTGTTGATAATTCTATAAAGCAGTGCTCGTCTTGTTGCTCATGCTATCAAGCACTGCTCGTTATGTTGTTCATGCCATCAAGCACTGCTCGTCTTGTTCATCCTATCAAGCACACATGTGTACATGATCATTCTGTCTAAAATCCTGCCATTCTCGCAATTAAATACTGTGTTCACAAGCACTTGAAAATTAGTGAGTGAGTGAGTGAGTTATTATTTAACGTCACATCGGCAATATTGCAGCCATATTGTGACGGGAACGTAATTGACATTGAAGTGGAATATATGTATATTATACAAACCTGTCGACGAAGGACAGTAAAACAAACTTGAAAATTAACCTGTCCAAATGTTTTGTGGAACTTGCGTTTCTTTCGTGGTTGAGTGTACGCTGACATATTAAAGTAGAAATATCCGCATTAAAAGGTTTGACTTGAATGCTTGGCTGACATGAAATCACTGGATCACGATACATCGGATCCCTACACACACATCACTACAGATCTCCCAGATCATGTTATCAAAGCTGGGTTATAGTAATGGGACTCAAGCAAAGCATGTGTTGTTACAAGATGTGTCAAGACAGCATCCTTTACATCAGTCATGAAGCCTGTACAATGCCTACTCATCGAAACAAGAATTAATACACAAAATCTTGACCATCACCTTCAGATGTGTGAAAGCCATTGTCTGATCTTATCTAATGCACCAATCAGCTAACAGTCATCTACAGACAGTACCAAGAATGAAATTTCTGTAGCATTTCTTAAGAATATACTCCCACTGAATCTCAAAGCCATCATTATTCTCCTCTAACCATGAATCATCTATGTTGCAGTTCCGGGTATAGACCACAACTGTTCCCCAAACCTTACATTAGAATATGTGGTGGGTCCTGTTGCATCAAATTGTCTGTAAAATTGTTATTATTATTAGGATTTTAATGTACAGATTAAGACAAATATGCAGCAGCGAGAGTGATCATGGTAGCCAGGCTAGAAACGCTCATTACCAGCCCGGTACCCTTGGTCCCTCTACACGCAGTTCAGACAGCAAATGGGACTTCTCCCAGGAAGCATTGCCTATTCGAAACCACCAAGAACCTTCCAGAGAAAAAGGAGACTCCCCAACACTGCAGCGATCGGCACTACCCAGATTGTCAGAAGGGCTGTGGTGCCGGTGGAGGACCGGGGCACTCACCTCATATGTGCCAAGATATCACGAGGTACAAAACCAGGGGCACCGAGAAGAATGGATGATCTGACGACGAGTTGACCACAACCGCGTACAAAACCTTTCACTTAAAACCATAATGGTTCTTTTCTCACCAGTGGAATTTGCTGCATTTAACTGCGTGCAAAATGGTTTACGTCAAAGTGGAGACAGTGTTTTTGTTTGATTGATGCAACCATTTTTCCTGTGCCAGTTTCCTGTCCATTCTGTCAAGATCTTTATCTTTACCTTCAGTTTGTCTCTTTTCGTTTTGACATTCGTTTTTGCACATCAGTCTTTGATGGTTTGTCATTGGTTGCCATGAGGACCATACGTTTAAGCAGAGTTCAACCCAATAAATACTTTCTCTTCTTTCAGTTGATCTAGTTCGGAATCGATTTTCTTTGAGTGGTGTATAATATTTTTTAGTAAACACAATTATGTTTTCTCTTGATGCAGTATTCCCTTGACGCAGTTAAGTATCGTCTTGATGCAGTGGAAGAAAGCTGCACAGACAAAAGAGACTTTGTTTTCAAAGATCAGTTTGATATCGTGAGCATTTTTCTCTTTGACATGAAAGAACCTCTCCCAAATGACAAACCATGCCACGAGGTTGTATGCGTTTATTAGAAACGTCAGAATACTCAATGGCTTAAGTATCGCTGAAACTACTTCTACTTCACAAGATGCACAGTCTCCGCATTCAGTCATGAAGTTTCTCATATGCCTGTCATATTGCGTGGCTCCCGTCCTGACTCAAAGTAAGTTTCATCACTACGTATTGGTGTAATTCTTCAGAGTTGATAAGCAAATTATGTTATCCAATTATTAGTTGTTATTGAATGGGTATATATGTATAATTATGATAATCGTTTCTGTCAATGTATACTGCACGGCAAAAGAAACGCAAGTTTCGAAAAATGAAAACTCATAATAGTAAGCGTTCATGTTTATGTCTTTTATTTAGAAATTGTAAAAAAAACAGTTGCGTTTATTTTGCTGTTCAGTATCTGTTGATGGTACATTCACATTGTATTTCAGTTGACATTATTAGTACAGATAACTTATTTGGGTTGTAAAGCCCAAGATTTAATTTTGGCTCCCCGTAAGAGTACATAATTTGAAGCCCATTTTTTGACGCCCGATGCCGTGATGTGCCCAGAATATTATTAAATATAAACACCGGCCAAGGTTGACAGTAGAAATATCAATAAATATTTTCGTACACAATTCAAGAAAATCATCAATTGCATTGTAATCGGAAGTCGCAATGACGACATTAAATCCAGCCCTAACTAGAGAAATCTGGGGTTGATAGCGTCAGACGTATGTGACCACCAGTCACACGTTTAAACCACCTGAGGTTTTTTATGAAACACAAACGATATGTACATGTATACTGAACCACAAAAGAAACGTCGCTTTTCAAAACCAAATGCAACATTTTGTTCTTGCAAGGTGGTGTTTTTTACTATGAATTTATCGTTTTGTTAACATGTTTTTCAATCCAAATTGACAGCTATTACCCGCATCAGTGTGTTTTCTGATGAAAAAGCATATTGACCGAACGCACCGAAAAAGGCAGACATGGTAAAAGATTCCGTATGACATTCGTGAAAATGAAAATGCACGTGCATGTCGTGACAACCGTACCAATGAAAACGAGTCCCAAACTCGCCTGGAATCATTTTTCAGGTAATTTCTTTTACACAATCGTCATGCCTGACTTACGAGAGATCAGAGGAACCAAGTCTTGGGACGATTGCAAGTTATCCAGACTGCACGGAGGGTAGCCAATCATTTTAATGTTCATGTTAGGACAATCTACCGACTGCAGGAGTGGTATCAGGCCACTAACAGCATCCAAGATCGTCCACGCAGTGGACGACATTCAGTAGCATTGCAACGTCAAGACCGACAGATTGTGCGCCACCATCTGCAGGATCGCTTCCCCAAAGCGACGGAAACAGCACGCCATACTATTGGGACTAACAACAGACCTATCGGTGCCGATACAGTGCGTCGACGTTTGCGCGGAAGAAACCTCTGCTGTCACCGACCCTATTGTATTCCTGTCCTCACCGCTCCTCACCGCTAAAACCGACTACAATTGGCAACTCAGCATCGAAATTGGCGTTATGGACAATGGAGAACAGTGATTTTATCTCATGAAAGCCGATATTGTGTTTGGACAGTCGATGGCAGAGTGAGAGTATGGCGAAGGCGTGGTGAACTGTTTTCCAATGAGTGTATTCTTGAAAGAGACTCGTGGGGTGGTCCAAGCATCATTGTGTGGGGTGCAATCGGTCTGAACCAGTTACTTGACACCGTCGTGTTCCAGAATCTTGGTCCAGGATGAGGAAATGACATGACAGCTGCTCGCTATATTGATTAAAGTCATAAGGCCCCACTTTGTGCCACATTTTGGACGTTACAGAAATCACATCTTCCAGCAAGACAGCGGTTGTGCCCACACTGGCAGAGCAACATTGGACTTCATAAGACAACATGGCAGCCAAACCCTAGAATAGCCTGCACTCATGCCGGATTTAAGTCCAATAGAACATCTTTCAAAGAAGACTAAATGACCTTCAACCAAGGCCGACAACTCCAACTGGACTCGATCAGGCATTTCGCAGAGTATGGACCCAAGTGCCCAAGGCCTTCATCAATCAGCCAATTCATTCCATGTACAGACGATGTAACGCTTTCACCGATGCCCATGGAGGCCACACACGATACTAACTTTAGGGTATCTTAATGGTACCATATTTGGTGATTGTGTTTGTGTGAACTCTAAATGTGATTTCCGAAAATGTTTCAACCATAATTGTCAAATTTGAACTCAGTCCTCCGTTTTGATTGTTAATTGGTGTTAATTAAAGTGTGTGCTTTAAGAAAACTCTATCGGTGCGACATGTCTTATGTGGTTCAGTATATCTTGAATTCCACAATGCTATTTTGAAGCCCATTTCTAGTGTTCCAAGCCATGATATTGCTGGAACATTGCTAAAAGTGGCGTAAAAATCAACTCATTAACTCCACGGGTTTATGTGTAGGATTTTTTCCATAGTCTTTCCCAAAACAATTCAATTTATTTATTCTGGTTGTGACTTTTTATCCATTCTTATACAGTTTCATAGGATGTATTTATGCTGACACACAATCACCTCTTGGTGATTCTGAAGACGACAGTAAATCTTGAATTTTAAAACATAATTACGGCAGACTAAGATTAATGAAATCATGTTGACTTTCACATGTAACCATTATGATTGTCCTTGGTGTTCGATAAAAAACGTCAGCCATGTGAAAACGCGTAGTCTGCTTCACAGTCCCTGAACCACGCTATTCCCCCTACTGCCTATCCCACCCTGCAATGCTAAAGCCCTGAATCTGAATCTTCCCATCACAGCGAGGCTCCTGTTTGATTTCTTGACTGCATTGATTTTTCCATCACTATTTCAAAGTAAAAACTGTTAAAGATCTTGTTAGTACTGTTAATTTTCATTTAATTGTTAAATTTTTAAAGAAATAGAATTGTTAGATAAATTTTGATGAATGGGTTGTAAATAGATAAATATATTATTATTGGTTGTTTAGATTAGTAACTGAGATTGTTAGTGGCTGTACCCTCAAAGGGGGTTGAAATATTGAAAATTCTTGTCCTCTTGTGAGGGTACGTACCATTATATTCATAGTACATATAAATCTACTACTATTTTTAATCGTAGCATATATGTTATTTTAATCTATGACTAGATTTATCTGAATTGCTAACCGCTGAAGGGATGATGTAAATCCATCTAGGGTCCATGCAGGAAGCAAGAGTACTGTAAGTCCCCATGGTCCCTGGCATGGTGATCTAACTTCAGTTGTTGGCAATATATAACCTGTTTTTACATTGTATAGTCATGTATAGTTAAAATGTTTTAGTGTTAATTACTAGTTTTAAATTGAAATCCTTGATAACCTAGTCGTTTTACTGTCCTTCGCTGACAGTTTTTTTTATACCTTTATTTATTGTAAAATTATAACTTGTTTGTAGTCACGATATGGCTGAAATATTGCCGATGTGACTTAAAATCTTAACTCACTCACTCGCTCCTGTTTGATTTAAATGGGTTTATTTGTCACTGTTCCAATTATATATATTCAGAGATTAAGCGTTAGTCCAATAATGAGTCAGTGATTGAGTATGGTTTTACGACGCGTATAGCAACATTCCAGCCTTATCACGGCGGGGACACAGGGAATGAGCTTCACACTGCTAGTCCAATAAACACGCACCAAGTTCACTAAAGAGAAATAATGGTCAACAGAATTACGTCACTAAATGACAGAATCCTATATATGGACCTACAAAACATCAATATACACCCGAAAGCCACTCTAAGCTCTTTGGAGAGTAACACACACAAGCTTGTCGGGCAATAGACAGTTAACAACATCATAACCAATTACATCCTTCAGTGTACCCATTCGATAGATGTTTGGGTCGGGTTTTGTTCCGGAAGAAGTTTTGATAAATGTGTTTCACTTTGTGTACCAGGTTTGTACATGAAGAATGCGGTTACCAATCCTTCTTAAAATTAGCGTTGCTTTGCCCCCCTCGAACCGGCTTACAATTGGTGTTCAGTAACCCATGCTTGTCGTAAGAGGCGACTAACAGGATCAGATGGGCAGGTTCGCTGACTTGGTGGACAAATGTCATCGTATCCCAATGGCGCAGATAGATTTTAAGAAATTTTAACTTACTAACTCACTGTAACCCGTGAAAATCCGGGTTAAAATGGTCTGTTATGGTGAGGGAGTGAGGACTAAAACTACTTGTGTTTCCTAGTCGTTTGAAGGCGGTGGGGTAGCCTAGTGGTTAAAGCGTCACGCCGTCGTCACGCCGAAGACCCGGGTTCGATTCCCCACATGGGCACAATGTGTGAAGCCCATTTCTGGTGTCCCCCGCCGTGATATTGCTGGAATATTGCTAAAAGCGGCGTAAAACTAAACTCAGTCAGTCAGTCGTCGTTTGAAGTTATGCCACAATCCATGCAGCGTTTGATCAACTTGGGAATCATTTGATGTCATAATAACAGACATAACCACCATCAAGCGCCTGTGAAATGCAAGGCCTTTACTTTAAACATGGTAACTTATGCATGCGGAAGATCGAGAAGAAGTCAACGACGAGTAACCGTTTTCAAGGTGTTTTACTGAAAGTACCGGGAATCAGTCAGACAGGAATTCACACGATGTGAACCAACAAAGCGTTTTTTCTGTTTTATGTTCTATATAACCAGCCTTACCAAGACATATACGCCCCTTCTTATTTGTTTTAACTTGGAACACTTTTGGGCTGACCGATTATACCTGACTTTGACCAACCACATGATTTAACCAACCAAGGCAGCATTCCCTCTTCAGATTCACACTTTGTAGGATAGATGTTCCTTTTTGCCTGTAGCAATATCTCAGGGAAATCTTTCTATATAACCCTCCCTCTCCTGTGGATTGTTGATACATTTGTGGATGTATGTCTTTCTACCACTGAGGCCTTTGTAGGAATGAGACGTTCTATTTTAGCTTTATAATTTTTAGACCAACTGACAAACTTAGTAAGATATCCATCACCAAGACTGTACGCGAGAAGAGATGACTCCCGATTTAGTCCACCTGGAGTTCACAGGTGTGTATTTTTCTTTTCGATACTCAGAATCAAATCTTTGATCTGGATAATTTATAGTTCTGAAAATATAGAAAAGAATAGAAACAAATACATCAGATACAACTCCAACTGTACACTCAGCGTTGTCAGTAATCACAACAATCAAATATGAACACCCAGTCAGACCAATAATAGAAATTTTAGATCGTTTCTAAATCACGTTGATATTAGTTTAATGTATTTTCTTTTCAATGACTGACAGTTACATAAAAGTACACAGACATGTTGTGGAAGTTGTTGTTGAATGGATTCCTTGTGTGTTGACTTGCCCTGTCCACTTGTTTTAAGTCAGCCTATTCCTTCTTCCTCCCCACCGTGAACCTTGTCAAAGTTCCAAGTATCATCCATTTCAAGTGAGAACCCCCCCACCCCACCACCCTACAGCCTCTTCACATTCCTCTTAACTCAATTTCTCCTTCGTCCTGATTCTCTGGAACACCATACAATGCTATAATATCCGGTCGTTACATCGAATTTAACTCAGAAAATATCTTGCTTGGATTTATAGGGAGAAATGATAATTCATTAAATGCCATAGGTCTTGTTGTCAAACAAGTCATATATACCCAAAGTTAAAAGAGACAATTCCAAACTTCAAACATGCACCAAGGGATATAAGCAGATACTATGAAGTTACAAAATATAGTCCTTTTTCAACATGCACACATGACATGTTTTATTCATTCTCGTCATCAGTCAACAATTTATTCAAAAGACCCTAATATTTTTGAAGATGTATCTATGATTGTGGCGTGCAATTGGATATAGTATCTTTACATATTTATTAAGTTAATGATATGTGTAAATCATGTCATGAATAGTATCAGCCTGCCATCTGTATTGGTACAAGTATTCACTGAATGTCCATACTTGGAAAATGTACAGGAAACATCTTGTATTCGGAATCACTCAAAAAAAAATTCATGCATTTCATGTCAAATAATTGGGTATAATATCGTCTGATATTTATTAAGTTAAGATAAGTGTAAATCATATCATTAATAGCTTCAGTCTGTCATTTGTATCGGTACTAGTATTCATTGATGTTTATACTTTGGAACATGTACGTAGAACATCCTGTATTCTGAGCCACTCAAACAATCTTTCAAGCATTTCATGTCATATAATCGGGTATAATATCATCACATAGTTCTTAAGTAAATGATACGTGTAACTAAAATTATGAATAGCTGCAGCCTGTCGTCTGTATCTATTCTAGTAATGACTGGTGTTTATACTCTGGAAAATGCACAAAGCGTATCCTGTAGAACATCCTGTAATCTGAACTACTCAACAAATCGTTCATATTATATAATTAGGTATAATATCTTCTGATATTTATTAAGTAAACGATATGCGTAAATATACGAATAACTTCAGTCTCTTTTCTGCGCCGGTACTAGTTTTTTTCCTTGATGTTTATTCTTTTTACCTTCTTCCTTTAAATGTCTCCAAGATTAGTTAGCCACTCATAGTTTGTTACTGTCCTATCTCTACATTCACACATCTTGTCTCTGTTTAGGTGGTAGGACAGCCTAGTAATTAAAGTGTTCGCTTGTCTCGCATAAGAACCGGGTTCGATTCTCCACATGGGTCCAAACATTACACAAGGTTTACGGGGTAACAGTACATCTCTCAAGATATTGATGACTGTTCCCATATGTTTGCTCTGACAATTAGTAACTTATTAGTGCCTAAGGAAAGTAAGATACTTTATGGATGCAACTTCTTTATCATACAAATGTATATGATGCGACATTTCGGTATAGATCCTTATACCGTTGTCAAGCAAGAGTGAAGTACTGCAGCACAGAACGGACTTATATACATCAACAGGGATTATGTAATAACAACATGTAGGTATGAATCAAGGGGATTAAAAACTACAAAATGGATGGTGCCAATAATGTAGTGACACTAAGTAGAAGCCAATAGTCCATGAGGCAGAAACAAAATATACAAGGCTGATAAGACTAAGTAGCAATGATAGCTGTTTATCAGTTCATTGTATACCCCTCAGTCAACAGAGATCAGGGATATCTCATCCCATCTGCATACAATGAACTGATAAAATCAACAGATGAGAACACTCCAGCTATAAGTGATATCATACTTTCTTATTATTAGCCAACTTCTCAAATGCCAATCAAACAGATTATTAGCGCCTTATTATTTGTTAACAGCCATGTGGACCGTGCTTGTCACTCTAAGGGCGGTTGGGATACCCAGTGGTTAAAGAGCTCGCACGTCATGCCAAAGACCCGGCTTTACTACACGTAAAGAACACTTGTTTGAAACCTATTTTGTGTGTACCCTGCCGTGATATTGCTGGAATATTGCTGAAATCATTAATATTTTGTCCATCGGTTTTTACACCGGCCCTTTTCCCCAACGCTCCAAGGTGAAAACATGTTAGTCGTTCGTTTGAGTCTGCACTAATGTTCCCCATGCGATTCCCCAAATGGGGATATAGATGTTTGTGGTGCAAAATGTTCTGAACAAGTTCTACATATTTTGTGTTCATGTACGCATTCAATCAGGGAAAACGAACGATGAGGAACACCTTTGACAGAGACCTGTCATAATCTGTTTTTGAATTGGTCTTCAACAAGCCATGCTTGTCGTAAGATGCGCCAAAGAGGCTCACGTTGTCACGCCCGTTGACCCATGCCATCGTAGCACAATTGCGTAAATCGATGTTCATGATGTCAATCACTGGAATGTCTGGTCCAGGCTTGATATTTTCACAGACCGTCGCCATATTGCTGGGATATTGCTGAATGCAGCGTTAAACAACAAACAAACAAAACAGAAACAAACTCTCGAAAGTCTCAAAAATTTCACTAAAATTTCAGTGTATAAATGTGAGTAATACGTTTCTGTGTCCACGTTTGAGTGCTTGAAACATCAGTTGCCGTTCTTTGTTAATCTAGTTTTTCACGAAATTGTACATGTACTTTAGATGAGCTGTTTGTGGTGCGAAATGTTCTGAAAAAATTCTACCTAATTTGTGTTCATGTATGCATTCAATATAGCTGTATTGCTTTTTCGGTGTTGTTACAGTGATCCTAACGGGTAAAGGACTGGATACAAGTTCAACGCTACCCGGAAATGAGCCTGAACTGGCGATTGATGGAGACGGGAATACATATTTTATGTCCAACTATACCTTGCCCGGGGAAGCCTACTGGCAAATTGATTTAGAAGGCTACTATGACGTCAATGAAATACGTATCCAATTTCCAAACATGGGTACCTCTATTCCATACACATACTTCTGTAACCCGTGAAAATCCGGGTTAGAATTGGTTTTCAGCAACCCATGCTTGCAACAAAAGGCGACTATGCTTGTCATTAGAGGCGACTAACAGGTGGTCAGGCTCGCTGACTTGGTTGACACATGTCACCTGTTCCCAATTGCGCAGATCGATGATCATACTGTTGATCACTGGATTGTCTGGTCCAGATTTGATTATTTACAGACCGCCACCATATAGCTGGAATATTGCTGAGTGCGGCGTAAACTCAACTCACTCACTCAGTCACTCCAAGTAAAAGCCACCAGTAACTAAAAGCCCACGCGAATGTTTCACCGTAATGTCGTCACTATAATACTGAATTATTTCTGTTGTGACGTCACACAGTTAAGACAGGAATAGCGTGCGGTTAAACTACACAACAAATATATTACGTTGTCACTCGAAAACCACGTTATAACCATGTATATTTGAACGTACATCGTGCAGGAAGTCAGACTGGTTGGAAAATATCACTGTTGTCTCATACGTATATTTCAAGGATCACACTTGGCCCTGACGCCAAAAGCCTTATACCTGTTCAAAGTTCAGTACTTTTCTTACATTGAATGATTGTGGATTTTAAAAAGACTAAGCCGTCTGTTTTCGCTTTGACCGTTCCTTCCACATTGAACTGAATTTGTATTTGTTTAAAATGGTGTTTCAAAACTGGTTTATTCAGTCATAACTTAAATGCTTGTTTTTCAGTTCGAAATCCGCCTGAGAACAGAACAATTTCTCTCTCCAAATATTCGACTTTTGAACCTGCCCACACTTTTCTGTGCGGCCAGAATATCCCCGGAACTACCTCAACGTGGATGTGCCAAGGGCTGTTTGCTGTTCAGTACATACGTGTCACCACCGACCAACCACCACTTGTTCTTCATGAAATAGTGATATATGCAGACCAGGCAGTGCAGCCAGTGTTGGAAGGTGCGTCTGAAATATTGTTGACTTCATAAAATCTTTACTCGCCTAACGGTGGCCTCAACTACTGATGTACTACTGTTAGATGAGCCACGATCTGACAAATGACCCAAATTTGCATATATGGGAACACCCTCCAGAACATTCTATTTGAACAATGAGGGAAACAAGTTGTCGTCTAAAACGTGAAAAGTTCAATTTCCTCGTGCGAATCGTGTTTTGATTGTTATATCATACTACTATGTCCTATGATATGTACTAAGATCCTTAGAAACTGAACCAAGACAAATATAACAATATTTACAAAACACCCCACACAAGTGCTAGAGAAAAGAACATTTGTTATGTTTACAAACGGATTTATAATCGGCATATATTCTGGTGCATCCTCTCCACACATGGGTCAAATACCGAATAGATCCATTGTGGAATTTACTGATTTAGGCGTACTTCGGGCCTGAGTCGTCACTTTCTGAATCGGTCTCTGTGTCTGAATCACTTGCCAGTCCTACTTCAATCACGATCCTGTCAAATTCTTAGTCTACTGCAATTTCCCGTTGCCAGTAGCCATCTTCAATGATTTAAACATGTTTACAACATTCGGACAATTCCTTGGCACCGATTGCAGACATTTTCTCGTTTATGGTACTCTTAGCGAAGTTTTTGTGAACTGCAAAAGGTTTTCTGTAGCAACATAATTTTTTACATTGGCCCAAATCAACTCAATTGGGTTTTATTCTGCATGGTAAGGAGGAAGACGTAGTACATCATGGGCATGTTGTTTCAACATAGTGTCTACTCTATAGACAGGGATCGATTTGTTGGATTTTGCCAGACACAACTGTTCGGCTTTGAGCATTTTATCGTCAAATGCAATATTGTGCCTTTGTAACCAAGCTTTGGTATCATCTTTTCAGTTAGCCGTTGTTGGACATTTGTCCACTTGCTTGCTGTGGTATGGCGCATTATCCATAACAATGACGGAGTGGGGTGGAATGTGTGGGATCAATTTTTCCTGCAGTCATTTGGAAAAATTATTAAAATTCATCTCGTCATGATAATCTGCTGATTTGAGTTTTGAGTCAAATCCAAGTAAAGCATTTGTTACAAAACCGTGTTCGGACCCTGCATGAACAACAATAAGCCGAAGTCCGGTACCGGACGGAGGCTGAACCCAATTTATCACAACCCAACCATCAAGCTGCCAACATTTTGGGACGATGTGGTGTACATGCAACCAAGTTTCATCGATAAAGATGATTGTTCGATTTTCATCTCGACATTTTTTATTGCAGGTAAGTATTCCATGCGCTTTGCAACGATGTCTTTTCGTTCCATTAAAACCTTACGATTTGACTGCGTTTTTGGCCACCTAAACCCCATGTCTTTCAGATTTTTTCGAAAACTTTCCTTTGAACCCTGGTAATGCAATTGACTTCTTGCCATATCATATATCATATCTAGAGTAGGCAGTTGCTTTTGTACTCCATATACATTTTGTACAAATTGACGGACTGCACACCGGTCAAAATCATCAAGTTTGTGCTTGGAAGTCATGGGTTTGCGCAACTCATCAAGTTTGTGCTTGGAAGTCTTGGGTTTGCGCAACTTTGTTGGACTAAGAAAAGTAGGCCTACTCGCACCCCTATCACCTTCCGCTTTAATACGTTTTAAAATTGCCTTGGAAATACCAGTAGCATTGCTACTTTTCGACATAGCGTCTACTTTGGTTGCACACGTCTTTTCCATGTAAATAATAACATTGTAGGCTTACTCCCTTGCCAGAGAATGAACAATTTGCCCATGCTTCCCTAACTTGGACATGTTAAATTAATTAAAATCTGCAAACATTCAACAATTGACTCGTGTCGAGATGGTGTCTTGCTGAACTGAATCGCTCTACGAGACACGTGTTAAACAGAAGCGGTATTGAGTTCACGCCACGGTCAGCATGTATTGCACGTGCTTAATCGCCACTCTACCTGCAGCAACCAAGTGTATTCGTCTAGATTCCCTGCCCCGCCTACTTGTCACAAACGCGTACACGTACTGCGCAGGCTCATCTTACACGGGTCCAGCAGTAGTGGTTCGCTCACCATTCCGAAGGAACGGACTCGGTTTCCAACACTGGGACAATTTAAAAGGCCCTTTACAGGTGTGTTGAGCAGTCATATTTTGGAAGCACTGCTAAACACGGCGAAAAGCTAAGTATATTCCTTATGTATTGAAATTATGATGGCATCGAAGGACAGAAAAAAACAACTAAACAAGAACCGTGCAATCGGCAATACAGAAATAGATTTGAAATACGGAGGGTGATTGGAGGATTTTGACGTTGACGATTGCCACAGACCTCCTCGGCTTGTTCAACGGAGAAAAAGTCAGGAGTTTTGACCATGACTTGTGATGGCTGGAGGAATTTGGTCTCAATCTTGGCAAGGTTGACACGTACATTATCATCTTGAAAAAATGGTGCTGCTATTATGTTGTGCGGTAGTATTGACCTGTGTGACTCAGCCATGGCCAATATCCAACGCAGTTTAGCCCATCACCGTGATTCCAGAAAAAAATTCGATTTCTTCGGTCATGCTAGTCAACAATGGACCTCGATTTAATCAGAAAATATGCCATAAGTCCAACTTTGATTATCCCAGTGTTGAAGTTTCCCACACCACTGACATTTCTCATCTGTAAGCTGCGGGATGACGTCTTGCTGGCAAATGTACAGACGATTTCCTGTTGCTTGTTGCAGCCAGTCCCTTAGTGCTTACACACAAACAAACGATCAAATACATTTGAAACACCATGTACGTAAACACGCAGTAGGTAAAGAATATGAGGGCGCAATCATTATTCTCGTCGGATGTCCTAGTGAATGTCCATGTCCAAAACATTTTCAGGCTCCCCATGCGAGTCAAGGAGCTATCCAACCTCTCGGGACATTCAATGCATACAATATACAAACAACTGACGTTGTGAAATAGGAACATCGTCATCCCATGCTATTGGTTTCCGAAATGACATTCACCTGACAATGATTATATGATACACAAGGAACGGTTATATTTAAATCATGCGTGAAGTAATCTATCAATCAATACATTGTATTTCTCTTCTTCTGTTCCAAAGGAACGTCCCTTGAGACAATCACGACTACAACAACAACGACGACAGTGTCTTCAGGTAGGTTTCATTTTTCCATCACAAAGGAAAAATATTTCGATGTAAAAACAATGAAGGATCTTTTTAATCATATTGCTCCTCATTTAATCCTTGGATTTTTAAAAGAAATTGAATTAATTGATATTTCTTTACATTGTTTAGATAGTTGATTTTTAATATTGGTAGATATTAAGTTGTATGGTCAGAGGCTGTATCCTCGAGGTGGGTTAACGTATTGTAAAATTATTTCAACCTACGGAGTTTAATCTTAGAATATTTGTTGTTTTAAATAAAGGCTAAATTTCACTACAATCACCAGTGACTGACGGGATGGTGTAAATCCAGCTAGGGTCCGTGCAGGTAGCAAAGGTACTGTAGTTCCCCGTGGTCCCTAGTATGGTAACCTAGCTTCAGTTGCTGGTGATCTCTAGCCCGTTCTTTTATATTGTATTGTTCATAAACTTGATTAATTTTACAGTTACATGCTTGTTTAAAATCTCTATCTGTGATAATCTAGTTATTTTACTGCCCTTTGTAGACATGTCTTTTCATATAATTCAATTGCATTTATTATGAATTTGTAATTTGTTAAACCCGTTAAGGTCCGGGTTAGAATTGGCCTTCAGTAACCCATGCTTGTCGTAAGAGGCGACTAAAAGGATCGGGTGGTCAGGCTCGCTGACTTAGTCGACACATGTCATCGGTTCCCAATTGCGCAGATCGATGCTCATGCTGTTGATCACTGGATTGTCTGGTTCAGACTCGATTATTAACAGACCACCGCCATATAGCTGCAATATTGCTGAGTGCGGCGTAAAACTAAACTCACTCACTCACTGTAATTTGTTAGAGTCACGATATGGCTGAAATATTGCCGATGTGAGTATACATCTTAACTCACTCACTTCTTCATTCATTCAGGTGGGATTTACTGTCCCTACTGGAAAACAGTGCATTGTGTAACGTGTTGAATTTAAAGTTACAACCAGACGTTTACCAGAAATCCTTAGGTGCAAAACGTTGGTGTCAGATCAATAAACAGCAAAGATATAAAGGTTACAGTTTTAATGAGCTACTTTACCAAACAATGCAAGTTATGCAAATGAATACAATCACTATATGTTATACACAGTTTCCACCTCTCGGCATGTTGAGTTTTCTAACTTTCTCTTCTAAAACACCTCCTGCAGCTGTCACGCCACAACACCAGAACAGTCATCAGGTAAGTTTTGAATAAAGCTCTGTCTTGGAGAAATTACGGCGTTTGATCGTTCCCAACCGAGCATGTTGCAGCATATGGACATGTGTGTGTATGTCTCTGTGTAAATACGTAAATGGAGTATACTGTCGATATGTTTATACCTATGTGTTGTACTTATATGTTCACCACCACAACACCAGAACATATTTCAGGTAGTTTGGAACAAGAAAAGCCATTTGAAAAGGCAACGTTGGACGCACCTATGTAAATTAAGAAATTTAGTGAGACGAATGTGAGATGACCATACCTTCGTTTATTAGAAGCGGCTTCCATTAGAGATAGGTACTCGCAACGCAAATAGGGTGCTCTCATTTCCAGTAGATGTCATTACATTTCAAGGGTATTCGTCATGTCTACCCATGTCGGGGTCGGTGGGGTAGCATTGTGGTTAAAGCGTTCGGTCGTCATGCTGAAATCCTGAGTTCGATTCCCTACAAGGGTACAATGTGTGAAGCCCATTTATTGATGACATTTTGCTAAAAGCGGCGTAAAAACATACTCACTCACTCTACTGATGTCTGAGCAAGGATACCTAGTGCTCACATACACGAACGCTATGATGCACCTCTATAGGCCGTAGTGGAGGAAATTCTTTGTTGCACGTTCGCGCACCTGTTATGATGATTGCGCACGAAAAACGTATATGAATGACTTCCTTGAACTTGTACGTGAGCCCTATTTTCGTTATCAAAATATCCAGAGGTTAACATTTTCAAGCCATCGGGGTGTGTGTGTAAAGCAACATGCATTTCATGTTTCATTGAATTACAAAGAACGAAGTGTTGACCAAGAAAGGGTACACAATCAACAGTTGTATCATAAAACTACCAATGATTTTTATAAATAATAAATTACGTCTAATGAATGCAATCACTGCATGTTGAACATAGTTTCCACCTTTCAACATATAGAGCTTTCAAAATGATCTCTTCATAAGTGACGTCATCGTCAGTTAGGACATCACCTGCAACTGTTACAACCACAACACAAGAACCGACTTCAGGCAGGTTTTGAATAACAGCATCTCAGTCCCCGTCGTGATTAACGTAAGGTTCTTCTCCAGGGTCATAACTCCAAACATAAAATACCATTAAAAATCCTTTTAATGAGATTTATTTGCCTTAAAATACCGATAAATTGTGCGCATGGTCGAATGAACTGTTATATCATTGTGTTAGTGAATGCTGATCTTATGTTTGCTACACATAGTTTGCATAAATATATATATATATATATATATTGACCAGTTGTATTCCTGCCTCATGGAATTGCTCGTGGTTGGGAAAAATACACCATAAGCTCTCTTGAGACCCACAACCTGGTCAGGCAACAGAAAGGTAGCATTTTCACATAAACCCATCACACCCTTCCAATTGATGGTTGGAGTGGGTCATTTGTGAAAGACATTACATTTGCTTTGACACGGTGATCTTCGATAAATGTGTTTCATTGTCATCAAGTGTGTAGAATGCGGTTACCAATCCCTTTTAACATCGGCGTTGCTTAATATCCCGCTCTGTAATTTGAGTGCTTTGCAAGACTAAAACTTCTGTTGTTTTCACATCGTTTGAAGTAATGCCAACACGAACCGTTTGATCAAACTGATAATCATTTGATGTCACCATAACAACCTTAATCACCATGTTGGTGTACGTGTGTGCCGGGTGTATGGGTGCATACATAAACGTGTATGCATTGATAAACGCTACTCCAAACACGACTTCCCTCGGTGTATATCATTGACACACGCCCTTGCAGGATCTTCCTACAGAGTCATGCCTGGCTACACCCTCACGACTCCAACTGCTACGCTAACGACGCCCATGGTAACCATGTGCAGCATCTGGTGTCAGCAAAGCCTCGGATGTACAGCCTTCAGCTTCAACAAGGGACTGCTAGTCAACAACTGTAAGATCGGTGCAAGTCAGGAAACCACGTTAAGTTCAGGGTGGACTGCCAACATCAAAGGCGCTGTCATGGATATGCGTAGAGCTGGGTATTCATGCTCGTAGGAAGGAATTTGATGTAAATAATGACGATTAGAACCCTTTTGCTCTCATATATCATTTCGTTACAGCGAGCCTTTATTTTATACATAGAACATCTTTTTTGTCCAAGGGATCTGCCATTATTTTTTGGTATGTTAAGACTTACCCCCAACGTTGTTAAAACTACAGAGAGACTATTACTATATTTAACTTATATACCAGCTAGAGTTAACATGTGTTACTGTGGGTATAACGTCCTACGCGTTTCTATGCTAAACGCACAATGGTTTATGTTAATAGATAATGTACAGGTTAATATATATCACAGACAACTCAATGCGCCATGGTTCCCAAAACCCTGCTGAGGAGACGTTAGAAGATAATGTACTGAATAGGCATCTATTGACACGTAATTGAACTGAACACAAAATCGGAACATTTAAAACATTGAACCTCTAAATTAATGTCATTATTTTGTATCACAGTAGGCTAATAGGCTTTTCAGTGAATTCAGCAGGGTTATCAATGTATGCATGGTGTGGGTAAAATACTCCAGCTACAAAAGAGGTCCCAATCATATTAAACAAAGTGTCATCGAAAGGGTTGCAACGTTTAACACTGATGTTTTGACAACGTTTTCATATATACTATTCCCAAAAAGAAACGCATAACCCGGAAATCTCTTGCGAAAATGTTGTATTTTCAACTCATGAAAAAACTCGTGTTTAACTCGTCCACAAATAGACTTTAAGAAATGAATTTGTACAATCTGTTTAGAAGAAGAAAATGTCTATACAACCAAGTGGATAATTTTAGATAAAGGAGACGTTGAGCGCGATGGTGACAACGTAGCATGGTCCCGACGTCGGGTCTCCTGGCTCTAAGTCCAATCTCTCTCAACCTGTTCCGTACAGTTTGACCGGATATCCTCCGAAGTCCAGGCACCCTGGCAGCCGTGCTCTCACACGTGGCAGTAAGATCACGAAAATGTAGTACCCGGATGTACCGATCTTGGGCTGCAGTGGTGATTCGAGGCCTACCTGTACGGGGACGGTCATTTGTTATGCCTGTTTGGTTGCAACGAGCTGCAAGCAGTGATATCGTGCTTCGACTAACATTTAGACGCCTGGCAACAGAAAATTGGTAATCTCCAACGTGCATTCTTCTTCCAATGGCGATGTTCTGTGTCGCTGCGTCAATACTGGGCGTAGTGATTTGACCTTGAAACTCCTTTAAAACGGATGCCGATTTCCGAAAGTAATCTGGATTTCTATAGCCAGACAGTGCATGCCCTTTGCTGCACAATTTCAACTGGAAGGTGATTTTTGTTGCGTTGTGACGATGCCTTTTTAATTCTTGTAAGAAATCTCATTTAAATCAACATTTTCAGGTAAAGTCGACTTTTCACTTGTGCAATTGTGTAAAATCATGTTATCATCACTTTTGTTAAATATTTTCACGATTGTTTGATCACAATAGGTAATTAATAGAATTTAAAAATACAAAACGGCTTTGCGTTTCTTTTTGGGGATATTATTTCCAATTTCTTTTCCATATCGAATTCTTAATGTTCAATAGAGTGTTTGTTTGTAGCTGACAACACGAACTCACTCAACTTTTGATTTAAAAAGGACTGTATAAACCCTAGACAAAACAGAAAGATTATTTATTTCGCTAGTCTAGAACATACAAGCCATTACTTTGCCGCGTTGTGTCCGCTTTTTTAACCTTCTGCCTATTTCTATGTAATTCGTATGATGATAAGGAATATATAATGTGTACCCAATGATCTTAATGGTAGGCTTTTGTTGTTTTCTAACGAGTTTCAGCACTGTTTTAGTGACGTGATGCACTGTTGATCTTTTTGACGAGAAGCTTTTCACAAAGACTTGATCATGATGTGTTTCTTTATTAATGTACATTGTGATATTGAAACTGTTGATTTTAGTAATCACTCATTTATTGATGCCATGTATAAAAAGATGGAATGGTTCACACTGGACAAGAAGCCATAAGCCACAACATGACATTAAAAGTTCTATGTTGACTTGTTTAAGACAATGTTGTCGTGCTTGTCGTTGTCAATGTACCTGCAACATACAACAAGTTTCAAAACGTCACCATGGCTGTTTTGAAGTCCCAATTGCTTGAAATGTGTGTGATGATAGGGAATATATAATGTTCATCAAGGGAGATTTAGAGTGGGCGTGTGCTGCTTTTTGTGATGTCTTATTTTCAGACGAAAGACCATTTCCAATGACATCACATATGCTTTCATTCACGTAGTTTCTACATTAGTGCGCTGGGTGTTTATTAAACGCTCAGTTAGTGGTGTCATGTAAACAAAAATGGAAAGGAAGAGAAACTTCTTGCCATAGCATGAACTAATGAAATGTGATATTATTTCGAATCGTATTTCTACTCATATATACGAACTCTCTGATTAACGAAATGCATACACAGAAGGATTGGTCTGTTTTTAAACACCATTTTGGAACGTGACTTCAGTAACCTACAACGTGTTGTAAATATTTGTTTTTGAATGTCTGATTCGGAAATTAAAGTACAGTAGCTCACTATTGCACAGTAATATAGCTGAGTTGTGTTTGTAAGTTGTGTCACCTGTCGGTTTTTAGTTGGCCTTGTTATGGTTGGTTGGTTGGTTGGTTTCTTGTTTCACGTCACACTCATCAATATTCCAGCTATATGGCGGCGGTCTGTAAATAATCGAGCCTGGACCAGACACTCCAGTGATCAGTATCATGAGCATGATTACACGCAATGACGCAAATACGATGACATGTGTCCACCAAGTCAGCAAGCCTGACCATCCGATCCCGTTACTCGCCTCTTACGACAAGCATGGATTACTGAAGACCAATTCTAACACGGATCTTCACGGGTGGATTGGTTATGGAAAAGTATGTGTTGTTAGGATTACGATGCGTTCTACGTTCTCCTGTGCTTGTTACAGACGGATCGACGGACAAAAGACAGAAGAAGCATTATGGCTAAAGCTCATTTCATGTTCAGATGAACTGTAGATATCAGTGAGTGAGTAAGTTTAGTTTCACGCCGCACTCAGCAATATTCCAGCTTTATGGCGGCGGTCTGTAAAAAATCGAGTCTAGACCAGACAATCCAGTGATCAACAGCATGAGCATCGATCGACGCAATTGGGAACCGATGACATGTGTCGACTAAGTCAGCGAGCCTTACCACCCGATCCCGTTAGTCGCCTCTCACGACAAGCATAGTTGCCTTTTGTGGCAAGCGTGGGTTGCTGAAGACCTATTCTACCCCGGATCTTCACGGGCCACTTTAGATATCAAGCAACACGGGCATCTGGTATTTAAATTTATTGACATAAAACTCAGACATGGACCCATAAGCAAATGACATATGATTTTCGTCAGGTCATATAGTGATCAATAAACATCATTTTACAAATGACCGCCTCCTTGGTTGAGTGGTTAGAGCGTCCGCCCGGAGTGCGGGAGGTCGCGGGTTCGATCCCCAACCGTGTCATACCAAAAGACGTTAAAACATGGTACTTGTTGGTCCCTGCCTGGCGTTCGGCATTAATGGGTACAACAAGGACTGGTCGGCTCGGAGTCAGTATAATGTGTCTGAGTGGGGTATTCATGCTTCACTGCGGCATGGTATCTCAGTGGGCTAGCATTATAAAACCAGCTTCAGTCTGGGCTAGTACAGGCAGCCGCACATACACATACACACGCATGCACGTCGTCATATGAGCGAAATATTCTCAAGCACTACGGTAAACCCAATTCCACCACCACACCACAAAGCTTTCTTGAGGGAGTTTCAAGGTATGTGTATCCTTTAGTACGAGAAAGCTCTCAATTTATACTCTTGCTTCAAAGAATAATTTCATGCACAAACCACTAGTTGGAAACATGAAGTAATCAATAATATACATGTCCAAACAAAAGGTGGTGACAGTGTGCACGTGCGTTTTGTGTGATATTGTTAATATGTATGTACATGTTATACCTTGGGTTGTAAATTAACTTATATAATACGCTTTTGTTAGGATTAGGGATTTATGGCTTTTCCATTATGTTTAGCTGGTAATTGAATTACCCCGTAATCGAGCTTACATAAACCAATGTACCACAGATACATGAATATAACAAGGTCTGTGTAAATAACGAATCTGTATGAATCTGGTTTTCATCGGTTGGAGCGCATATTGTAATATCCGATCAACTGATTGGACATTACAGCCATATATCGGACGTACAATATCCGCCTGGGTACTGAATTTCGTGGGCGAATACTGGTCCTGCAGGTTCAAGCCCGTAGTCGACTGCAAAGTCCGGATTCAGTTTCAGTCCTCCGTTGACTGTAAATCATCAGGAACATTGATCCCAATCTGAAACAGACCACAAAAATGAATATTTGAAATAGGGATCCAGTTAGTTTAGTAATCTTGTGTTATGAATAATACAAGTAGAAACTGCTGGAATGGCAAGAAGAACCTTTATACGGCAACACGGGTTTCAACATGGCCGTCGTTTAGACCATTTTAAGAGTTGGATTAGATTCGTGTAACAGTTTCCAAGACACCTGTGGTGGAGTAATCCTTTCCCAATCATAGCTTCAGAATAATTGTGGTTTCAGGCGAGGTTTCGAAACGTAAACGATTACGGCGGGCAAGCTTTTACCTCAGTGTTTCCATAGCTTTCTGACTAATCTTTCTTAGACTAATAATGGCCATATCCAAGAGTTTATTTCAAAACAAGAACTTGTAACATTAACGGGAAAGGTGAAACCGCCTTATATATATATGGAGAGTTAGTCACAAACAACAGTCCACAAGCTTGTGTGACAAGTCCCTAGTATGGTGATCTACCTTCAGTTGTTGGCAATCTATAGCCCGTTTCTATATTGTATTGTCACATATAGTTAAACTGTTTTAGATTTAATTACTAGTTTTAATTTCGTCTCTGTGATAATCTAGTTATTTTACTGTCCTTCGTAAACATGTTTTTATAATT